TTTTTTTTTTTGGGGTTTTAGCCCTTATGCAATCTGAGTCACCCAGAATTATTCTAAATCAATATCGAAATATAGAATCAAGAGGTTTAGTTGGTGCACTAAACATAATTTGTCTTGCTTCCCACAAATGGCGTGACCACTTTAATTGAAGACATAGATCAAATGCCACTTTTTATCTCATAGTAAAGGGCAAGGGGTGCCAGCTTGATAAATTTTAAAACAGTTTCATTGTTCATATCTTCATAATTGAGGATGTATTCACTTGGTTTATTTGAGAACAGAATGTCTCTAGCCAGATGTGGTTCTCACCCATGGGACATTTTTATCCTTGAATTATAAGGTTTATCATTTTGGCTTAGATTGTCTATAAAATGACCTATTAATACGCAGGCTTTTAGCTTAATGAAATGCTTTCTGTGATCATAATTTGTTGCTTTAAGCATGAATTTTTTTATTTATTTATTTAATTTTCTAAAGCAGTTGGCTTGAACTTCTGCTTCGAAACATGTACTAAGAGCAACTATGCATGTATGTTTTCCGCTTCATAACTGCAAATTTTAAATCCAACATTTGTATGTAATAGCTGGCCTTTTTATCAAGTTGTATCTATACAGAACAATCATAAAATAAATTCCCAGACAATTGCTTCTCTGTTGAAACTTCTAGAATTCCTGACTTAAGGTAATACATGCTGCATCCAGGTGTTTATTGCATTAATACATGCTGAATCCTGATGTTGGTCGCGTTAATGCATGCTGCATACTGATGTTGATTGCACTCAAAGTCAGTAATTAGATGAAAGTAGCGTTGAACCATTAAATACGTTTGGTGTTTTTGTGATTAAAATTGGAGCCCGTTGGGGGTTGGATGTTGGGGAAATACCAAAACAGAGTAAACAAAAATTTCAGACGCCAGTGCGAGCAAGTAGAAGAAGTAGTTGTGGCGTTGAGCTAATAACTCACCTACATGCATTTCATTCCTTATTTATTATCCTTCACATTTCTCTCTCTTTTCTGTATCTCTCTCTCTCTCCCTCTATAGATTAGTGTTGTAGGCTGCTAGATCTGCCATAGCTTCATCAATGGCGGGGGCATTATCCGCTCTCAGGCGCCTGTACCTCTCGCTCTATAACTGGACCGTCTTCCTCGGATGGTACCCACTCCCACAATCTCTCTCTCTCTCTCTCTAGTGACCACTATAACGTATTGAATTCTATATTTCATGGTTTCAGGTTGCAGGTACTGTATCTTGCTCTCAAGACTCTCAACGAATCAGGCCACCAGCATGTTTACAAAGCCGTTGAACGCCCACTTCTTCTTGCTCAGTCCGCCGCCGTTTTGGAGGTTCACTACTTCTACTCCCTCCAATTATTATTATTATTTTCTTCGTTGTATTTTAAATTGGGGGATGCATTTTCACATTTCTTCTTCTTCTGTTGTTCTCTAAATTGGATTTTGGAAATGTATGGAGCAACAGATTCTTCATGGTCTAGTAGGTCAGTGTCTTTAAATTTTTTCTTTCCTCAAGTTTTTTTCTTTCTCTTTTACAGAATTGTAAACAAGATGGTTTTAACTGAAATTTAGCTGATTTCTTTTGTGGGTTTTAGTTAACATTGTTAATTGTTCTTTCTATGTATTGTAAAGGTTTGGTCAGATCTCCGATATCAGCGACGCTGCCGCAAATTGGTTCAAGATTGTATCTTACTTGGGGAATCCTCTGGAGTTTCCCTGAGGTACCAATGCAAATTCCAAGTTGTGATCACTGTTAAACATTCTATACTTCAAAGATTTTTTTTCCTCTTCATTTGGGGTTTAAGATTTTACTAACAAGATGAAGCTTATTGCGGCAGACTCAGAGTCATATACTTGTGAGCTCTTTGGTCATCAGCTGGTCTATCACTGAGGCAAGTGTTTCCTGGTTGCCAATTCTTGCCTTTTTTACTCTCTTTTGTGTTTACAGCTATGTAAAAAGTATTATTATTGTATTGCTAGAGAGAAATTGTTGTGCCCAACTGCCTAGAGACCTGCAAGTAGTGTTTTTGTTTTTGGGGTTTTAGCCCTTATGCAATCTGAGTCATCCAGTATCATTCTAAATCAATATCGAAATATAGAATCAAGAGGTTTAGTTGGTGCACTAAACATAATTTGTCTTGCTTCCCACAAATGGCGTGACCACTTTAATTGAAGACATAGATCAAATGCCACTTTTTATCTCATAGTAAAGGGCAAGGGGTGCCAGCTTGATAAATTTTAAAACAGTTTCATTGTTCATATCTTCATAATTGAGGATGTATTCACTTGGTTTATTTGAGAACAGAATGTCTCTAGCCAGATGTGGTTCTCACCCATGGGACATTTTTATCCTTGAATTATAAGGTTTATCATTTTGGCTTAGATTGTCTATAAAATGACTATTAATATGCAGGCTTTTAGCTTAATGAAATGCTTTCTGTGATCATAATTTGTTGCTTTAAGCATGAATTTTGTTATTTATTTATTTTTCTAAAGCAGTTGGCTTGAACTTCTGCTTCGAAACATGTACTAAGAGCAACTATGCATGTATGTTTTCCGCTTCATAACTGCAAATTTTAAATCCAACATTTGTATGTAATAGCTGGCCTTTTTATCAAGTTGTATCTATACAGAACAATCATAAAATAAATTCCCAGACAATTGCTTCTCTGTTGAAACTTCTAGAATTCCTGACTTAAGGTAATACATGCTGCATCCAGGTGTTTATTGCATTAATACATGCTGAATCCTGATGTTGGTCGCGTTAATGCATGCTGCATACTGATGTTGATTGCACTCATGTTGCTTTTCTCCAGTGGATAAGTTGTAGTAGGTGGGAAACAAAGTTAGATTCATTTGTTTGTAATTGCAGATTATTCGATACTCTTTCTTTGGCATGAAGGAGGCACTTGGTTTTGCACCTTCATGGCTCTTGTGGCTCAGGTAGTACATCAGTTTTATGCCCACTGGACGGGAATGTAATTAGTTTGAGTTCTGCGATTCATTCATTTTTTTGGTTCTTTCAATCCCATGCAGGTATAGCACCTTTCTCTTGTTGTATCCAACTGGAATCACAAGTGAAGTTGGTCTAATTTATGTTGCCTTACAATACATTCAGGTATCAAATAAAATGATGCATAAAACCAAGATTTTTTTATATTTTTTATCGGTCCCTCTTGGGGTTGAGGGTGTTGCAAAAGGGGTGGCTTTTGTGGGTTTGAGGAGTTTGGTGTTGTAGCCGTTTATTACTCATCTTCTACGTGGAACTTGCCGTATTTTCTACTTGTAGCAAAGTGTTTAAAAGTATCTGTGTATTTGCAGAAGTCTGAAAAGTATTCTATAAGGATGCCAAACAAGTGGAACTTCTCTTTCGATTACCTCTATGGTGCCATTATCGCTCTAGGAATCTATGTCCCAGGCATGTATTCTTTCATTGGCATATTTTACCACACATACCTATTTTGCCTCTCATTATTCATTTTCCAATTGCTTTATCTGTTGCAGGCAGCCCTCACATGTACCGGTATATGCTTAGTCAGAGGAAGAAAGCTCTTTCAAAAACCAAAGCGGCATAGATGGCGACAAAGGTTTAATGTGTTTCTCATGGTCATGATAATATCAATCATATCGTTGTGTGTAAGATGGAATTTTATTCTTGAAAAGGTGATTTCTGTTTTTGACAAATTTTCTAACATGCTAACAAGAATAATTGATCAACCGGGTTAGTGCCAAACAAAAATTATTTGATTTTAACACGACGTATGGGATGCTGATTTTCTTTTTTCTATTTATTGATATGGTATATGAATCCTTTTAGGATTAAGTTTGTAGTTCATATGATATGTGGTTTTGGTTAAAAAAACAACACGATTAATACCAGATTTTGAGAGTGGATTAGTATTAATCACAATCCTGAAACCAGTTGAATGGATTTTATTGATGCTACCTAAGAATCTGGTTATAATAAACATAGTTTGCACTCTAAGCTGTATTGCCAACAGAGAACAGTCCGAGATAGAATTATAGACCCAAAAAAAAAAAAAAAAGCAAAGAAAAGATTGTCAAAATAACTTGTACAGGTACAAACAGAAAAAATTAGAGAAAATTTTGCAGAAGGTGCTCAATCAAACATTTGGGTCCTTAACTTCTTTTCCTATCCAATAACATGTCCCAAGACCAGTCAACATTTGCAATTGCAAGTGAGTATTGGGATGTACAGAAAATTTACTTAAAAAATGTGGCACAAAAACAAAAAGGAAAGTGTTTTGAGCATGACCCCAATGCATACTCATAAAAGAAAAGGGGGGCAAAAACATCTGGAAGATGCTTGCTATCAACAAATAATAATCCAAATCATCAGATTCATCCATAACTCAAAATTCCCATAGCCATGCCGTATAATCCACTTATTCGAGTCAGAAAAACAAGAATTCTATATCCTTTGAAGATTCAAAATCTACACTGTTTGCATTGCAGTGGAACAAATTTTTCAGCAAAAGAGTAGCTAAAATGTTCAAGAAATACAACCTCAGAACACTTGAATAATCTTCAACTTTAAAAATAGAGGAAAAGTAAGTACAGAATGTTTCAGCAACTGTTCCTCTTCCACAATTTCATTCTTCAGCAGCGCTGGCAGCACTCAGGTCCACACTCAAGTCAAGAGTCTGAAAGATGTTCCCCTACTTGTTAGGGCTTTCCAAAGGGTTATGCAATAAAGGAAAAACTGGAAACAAAAACTATTTCTTTCGATTTTGGTCAAAATTAATGAAGGATCTAAGCATGTTCAATTGTATAAGTTGGCTAACTGGAGTGAACTTGAAAACTTACCTTTCCAGTTATCTTGCTGTACATGGCAATCACATCTTGGACAGTAGTCTCGAAGTGTGTCGTCGCATCATAACTCTGCAAAGCATTCCAACTCCAAGAAATGAACAAAGACTTCAAAGTCTCAATGAGAAGAAACACAGGCTAGAAAGTCACATGGAAAAGTATTTGGAATAGGCTTTACAAATCATTATCTGAACATCAACTTATGGCCCTCCTTTGCTTAGAGCAATTGAAAATGTGGGAAATCATTGGAAACAGCGTATGAATTCATTAACATCAATAAATAAATAAATGACTTGGATCTCCATCTAGAAGAACCTGTTGCCAGTCTTCATACCAGATAGCAAGTCTGAGCTTTAGTTGCAGCTGAACAAAAAATGTTGGTTATTCTAGCACTAAATATCCTATAATTTCTCTTCTCCAGTTTTGAGCTCTTACAGTTGTCATGAGTGAAAATTGAAGTATAAATTTATGAGACTATGAATAATTGAAACGAAGATGTAAGATTTCATTTATTCTCACCGCAGAGATGAAACAGTTGTCCCCATCATTCTGGTTGGTAGGTTCGTATCTGTCATAAGTGTCGAAGAAGATTTCATCTATGGGCCCAAGGAGATCTGTGCCAGCCTTCAACTCCACCTGAGGATTATCGGTCTCTGCTTCTGTCAACACAAAAGCAATGTATTTCCCTTTTGGAGCTACATTGTGGGAATAGGAGCAGCAAAACAGGTACCTAGAACAGAGGCACAGAACTTTCTTTGGTAATCATTGAATATCTAGATTATATATTTGTCATTACATGTTGGATTATATATGTAGTAGTTATGCTCTTGGCATGAGGGGTAACAACTTACATATCTGATTTACGTCCAAGTTGCTTCTGGGGTAGAATAACCTGGACTGAGTGAGAATCATGGGTGCTTGGGATTGGATGACTCATAATACATATAGCACGGGCAACTTTCCCTATCTTCTTCACCTGTTGCAAGCGACGGAGATTGCAACTCAAATCAGTTGTCAAACTGCAAATTATCGTGTCGAATGACACTGCTGATATTCAAAGATTTATTAGTTTTACCTTGTCAGGCAAATATGAAGGATCACATACAACTTTTTTGCATTTTGCAGTTTCTCCTTCGGAAGTCACACCAAAGGCCTTTCCGTTTTCGAACTCTACCTGCCATTTGGCAACATCCGCATTGTAGATACCAGATTCAATTTGTTGGTTACCACATATACTTGAAATTTGAGAAAATCAATCACAGCAGTACATTGTCTCCATGGATAAAATAACTCTATCCATAGACTTCCAGAAGGGTCAATTGGTTCTATCTCTCAGCCTATTTGAGCCAGTCATGTTATGTTCAGAGAACAAAAAACCCTATTATACCATTACTAGATATAAAAGATGGGATTTAAAAGGTTTATGACAGAGCATTTGGATAATTTTGGATTTGCATAAATAAAACACCCAAACACACACACCTTGCATTCTGGCTTGCTGAGCATGTAGGTGCCACCATAAACAGCACTCAACCGAGCAAATGCCTGCCGATTTCATAGCACATATAGGCAGAGGAACTAAGTTGCATATCCATGAGATACTACAAATAATGGTTGAAAACATACCTGGGGCAGCTCTCCCAGACCATATAAGGGATAAATATAAGGAGATCCTCCTTGAAAGCGTGCTAAAGACTCTGCATATAACTTTCAAAAGGAAAGTAGAGTGCATTATAAAACACTGTAAAGTTCACTATTGCATACAGTTGGAAACGAAAATAGGAAAGCACCTTACACCAGAATGTTGATAGTTTCTTCACCTATTACCAATCTTATTTCTATGATTCTCACTTTTTGTCTTAGCATCTCAAACTTCTTCTTTAAAATGTTATCTCTACATAATTTTTCTAGCTCCATTTTTAAGTATCATAAGAAGTGAGATGGAATGGAACAAGACATTACCTTCATCCTCTTCACAAAATCCATAGCAGGCTCGCTCAAGTAAGAATCATCTCGGTGGAGCGCTAGCGCATGCCCAATGAAATCAACTGTGTTGTCATCTAGCCCGTACTTCCTATGTCAGAAACAAAAACCCTAATGTCATCATGAAGAAATTGAACGTATAGCTCAATTAATGTTTAAGAGACAAGTGAAAGTCAACAAATAAAAAGGGTAAGGAGAAGATGTGGAGGAAGTACGAAATAAGCTCTCGCGCTGTAACTTTGTTGAGGTCCAGGCCTTCATGAGATTTTGGATCATTCTCATCATAGTCTTGCACATAAATGAAAAACTTCCGAGCACGACGCTTCTCAAACAATCCCATGAGTGGAGATTTAAGTGCTTCCACATCATTAGCTGGTACTTTGTGGATCTGGAAACATAATGCAGAAGTCTATTAACTGATTCAGGGTGAAACAAAATCAACAGTTCAATATACGATATATTCATATAGATGATGGATGCACAGGCACTCAGTGAAATTAAAACTTAATAGGAATCGCACCTTCCCTTTGTTATACACAAAACTACCATCTACAGCCTTGAAATTCAGATATTTAGTAACATCGGTGTGAATCAGGACACGAACCAAAGCACCATTGGCCATCATGAACTGTCAAATTATGCACAAAGACTGTCATCAATATTCAACATCCAAGCAGACTTCAATTCATAAACAAATTCCAGACTAATGACAATCCTGATCAAGGTTGTATCTTTACACCTTTAGAAAGGGATTAAAATAAACAAAGTGCAATTCAGGAACAGGATTTATTCTTGAAAAAAATATTAAATATGATAAAGACAAGATTATTACTCCAAATAGGGTTTCCTAGAGCTTGTTTTTGACTTTGCTAACCCATGAGTAACTGAACCTAGCTAGATCACATCATTTACAGGCAAAACAATTAAAAAGAGAGCCCATGAACATATTACAATCTTAAGAAAACACAGAAAATGGTACATCAACCTTACATATGACAATTGGGGGCCAATGAAAGGAAAGCGAAAAGAGAAGTCAAAGAACAGTAGTAAGAAATTTATGCATCATTCTTCATACCTTGGGAATCATATCAACATTGTAGTCTCTACTTGAGCCCAAAGTTTCTGGAGGCTTATCCTCCCCCCTGAATCGCTTCCAAAGCTACAAGAAAAGAAAAAAAGAAAACAAACCGAAGCCGGTACTTAAAGAGAAAGCATGTATAGGAATATCTTATAACAAAAGTATGTCATACTGTTTAGCAACATGTCAAACTATAGCAGTAGGTTATTGTTAGCAATAACATTGCCGTTAAATAACTATTAGCAAGATAAAAGCATGTAATCCACCCGAAAACAGTTTTGAAGAAAAAAGAAAAAAAGAAAAAAAGAAAAACACTAACCTGGTTGAGATTAAGAGAGGTGGACTCTCCTCCATAATAGTCATTCCTATCCATATGCAGTACCTATTTCCAGTAAATAACATATTAGGAAGGAGCTAGCGGCCCAAAGCATTCTTATCAATTAATGATTTAACTGTAACAACAACAACAACAACAACAATGATTAATCTAGGTGATATCTGTTGCAAATTGCAACAAATGAAACCTGATCAGAGTGAGATCCGTCATCCATGGTAAATACTGATCAACCAAAGTGATGCCAAATAGTGAGCCATTTGTGTTTAGTTTATGTAAATGCATCTTTTTTTTTTCCTTTCCATTTTTGTTATTTATAAAGTGATATAGGGGGAGGAGGATTCGAACACAAGACCTCGGGTGTATGAGTAATTGCTCTTAACCACTTGAGCTACAAGACCCTTATTTTAATGCATCTCAAACGTACAATTTGACAAAATTCAAACAGCTAGAGTACGTTATAAACATATATTTGAAATTTGACCACTGGGGAATTATACATATAAACTAATTAACAATGTGTATCCGCATAACCAAAAATACAAATACATAAATAGGTAGGTGATTAATGCCAGAGTTAATTAGTCGTTTTGTTGTGATTTGCAAGAAAGAAGTTTCATAAGGTTTCAAATGGAATCAAGAACCTTGAGACCATCAACTGAGAGAAGGCCGCTGAGAATGCATTCTTTGAGGCCCGTTCCGAGCACTATGACGTCGTATTCTTCATCCATGGCTGGCTCTGAGAGACAGAGAGATCAGAGGGAAAACAGAGTATTTGTTTTGTGTTTGTGTTTTTGTCTGAGTGAGAAATGGGAGGTTGGTTAATGGGAAGAAGAAGATTGTGATGAAGAAGTGAGGCTACATTTAAGCTAGAGATGGAAGAGGTCTCTGTCTGACTCTCTTAGCAAAGCCAGGCGTTCCTGCAGTTTCGGTTAAAACCGTTACTAGCCCCCCACGTACGGTTCCACGTGGAAGCGGCTACTTATAATGAGTGTCTTCTTATTTTCTTTGTTAAACATGTTTTAAATATATAGTTTTGTTTGATAAATAGGAAAAAACAAAACTAGATTTCATTTCTTATATAAGATAAAAAATTTGCGTGCATCCTTGTCACAATTGGGGGAGAAAGACGGGGTGGGGGCAGGAGGAGTCCACCGCCGGAGAAGAGGGGGAGGTGGTCGGAGTTACATTAGGGAAGGGGAGGAGCCATTCCCTCCTTTTTAATATAATTGCTGTGGTGGAAAGATGTAAAGAAAAATTGCTATAATTCAGCTTATGGCTCCTGTCCTGTCACCAACACATGCTTGCCACTTTTTTCCTCCTTTTCAGTATAGTTGCTAAGATTACTCATGTGCAGAGTTGATGGAAAGCAATTAAGATTCTGTATTATTTAGCCAAACTGAATACTCATACAGCTGCCGTTTGCTAAAGTGACAGATGAAAACTTGAACATTATTACACGTTTCTTTAAAACACACCAAAAAAATATTAAGTGCAAATTTATGGAAATTCGATCGGGATCAGTCCTTGGCTATGCAGGTAATTGTAATGGGTTGTTGGTACGTCCATCTAAAATTGACAACAAGAACAAGTTCTTCCCACCCCAAAACTGGATAAAATCTTCAATAGTAGGACTTGTTTCTGCAAAATATATAAGAAGACAAAAGCAATATTGTAATTAACAAACAAAACTTCAATGCATAAATACATGTGGCTTAGGAATCTAACTTGGAATGCTTTATATGGCTTTACAGACATTAACAGAGGTGTGAATGAGAACAATCTATTGAACACAAGTGCAGTCCAAATCATCAAGTTTAGGAACGTCAATGTGAGGATAAAAGATAAATACTTACGCATATTTCTTACATCTGTCGTCAACGTGTAGCATCCTTGCATGATCCACACCTCCTTCTCGTATGGACTCTGTAAATTGCTCTGAAACACTCTCGAATGTGTATCCTTGTAGTTTAGTAAGGTGCTCAATACCCAGTGGCAGTCTCTCTAAGCTCAAGCACGTATCGATAATTAAGAAGTCAAGATTTGGCATCACCCCTTCCTCAATAGTTATCTTCTTTAATAATGAGAAATTAACCAACGCCATATACGTAAGCTTCACGAAGCCACTACTGAAACATAACTCTTTCCCTACATAGGAATTATCAAGGCAAAGCAAACGTAGAGAAGGCAATGCTTCAATATGAGGTAGTACCTCTTCCTCAAGAATAGACCCACCCAGACGCAAATATATGAGAGAGTGGAGTGAACAAACCCAGTGTGGTACCTTTTCCAATTTGCCGCTCAAGGTAAGTGTATCAAGGAAGGGAGGCGGTGAAGACAATGCGTCAACTCGAAGAAAGTCCTCTCCATCTGCTACCAATAAACCCAACTTGGTAAGGACCTTCATCTCTTGAATTGAGGCACATAGGTCCTCCTCGTCTCTTTCTTTCACATTTGTAATGACAAGGGCCTTAAGTTGGGTCATATTTCCAATTAGTCTAACAATGTTCCCTTTGGATTCAATACATGCCAAAGTTTGTAATTTCTTCATCTTATTAATACTTAATGGTATTTCTACCCCAATTAGCTTGGAACCACCTTTGTAACGGCACACAGCTAGATGTCGCAAGTTTAGCAACTTGGAAATCCCTCTTGGAAGTGCCTCTATATTTGTCCTTGTGATGTCCAAGGTCTGAAGGTTGTAGAGCTTCCCTATGGATTCTGGAAGCTCCTTAATTGGAGTACCTCTCAAATTTAAATATTTTAAATTGAATAAGGACGTTACTTCGTCTGGCAGATTATCAATTGGGACATTCTCCAAATCTAGAACCCTCAACAATGTAAGGTCAAAAGGCAATGTCTTTGAGAAAGAGAGTGAGGATGCGCCAGTCACAAACACAAGAAAAGAACGAAGCCGTGACAAACCTGTGCATGAATATCCAATTTCTCCATTAGTAGTTTGAATTGACAAACGCAGGGCCCTAGTTTCTTCCATTGTTTCACTCCCTTTGTGTACGGAACAAAACTTTTCTTTTTCTGCTATTGACAAAGCAATCTCCCGCATAACATCATGCATCTTACATGCGTGGTGGAATTCTTGATACCTTTCCTGTAGCATGTTACGAAAAATGAGTTCCATAACATAGCTGTTTGCAACTTCTTCTGGTGTTACCCCTTTGACATGTTCAACAAATCCTTCAGCGATCCACAAGTTAGTGAGCCTTTTATTTAAGATCACTGTATCTTCAGGGAAAAGGGAACAATATAGAAAGCATTGCTTTAGTCGGTATGGCAAATCATTAAAACTAAACAACAAGATGCTCTTCATAGGTTCTAGCAAAGGATTGTTTGTTAAATGCCAATTTAAGCTGTTGTAGACTGTGCTCCACTCTGTAAGTGACTTCTTACAAGACATAAGACCACTCAAGGCTACGATTGCAAGAGGTAGGCCTCCACACTTTTCAACAAGTTCCTTAGCTAATGGCAAAAGTTCAGGTGAACAAGATTTGTTAGGGTAACTGGAGAATGCTTTCATGCTGAAGAGCACCCAAGCATCACTCCTTTCCAGCGGTCGAATCTTGTGAACATGGCTTTCAACTCGAAAAGAAGAGGATGCTATGTCTTCTCTTCTAGTTGTAATCATGATTCGACTTCCAAGTTGTGTATCTGGAAATGAAAACCTTATTTTCTCCCAGAGATGGATATCCCACACGTCATCCAATACAACTAGGTACCTTTTAGTCTCCAAGTAGTTCACCAAAATCTCTAGCAATTCGCGACGGCTCATGGAATTCATGTTTGTAGGGACCTCTTCCTTCCTTGCTTTGTGGAATTCTTTGATCAATCTTATAAATAAGTCTTCAATCACGTAAGATTGGGAAACAGTAATCCACGCATAACACTCGAAATGGCTCTTCACAATATGGTTGGTGAAAGTCCATGCAACTAGAGTTGTCTTCCCTGATCCTCCCATCCCAACCACGGACACAACAATTTGGTGTTGCTCTTTGTTCATCAGCCATCCCATTAACAAGTTCTTATCGCCTTCAATCCCGACGAGTTCATCCTCCTTTTGGTAAAGAGAAGACTCCGCTTGGTTTTGTACCCATCTGCGAATATCCTCAGAAGTACTTTTTCTTTCTACAGCTGCACCGCCACCATATATCTGATTTCTCTCATGAATAGTTCTAATCATTACAGCAATTTTTTGTAACTTATTGGCTATTTGACGCTTATACCAAAGGATCTTGGGGAAGTGAATGGTTTTGCGGAGCCACCTTGCAAATCGACTACCTCTATGCTGCACGTATATGTGATACATGAATTCGTCAATGATGTTTTCAACGTCATTGGCCAAGTCTCGAACACTTCCGATCCACGCTTCCTCTACTTGTGTGTCTACTTTGTTGCTGTCGTCGGCATCCGCTAAGAAGGATTTCATGAATACCAGCTCCTGCTTAATCTCATCAACTTGATCACGAACACCCACTATGGAGGCTGCTTCACTCTCGAGAATGGCTACAAATTTACCAATGAAGATGTCTGCTGAAGCTTTCGCCATAATGGCCTTATTTTGGTTTGAATGCAAAGCAAGAGTGATATCAACTCTCAACTCAAAGGCTGCAAATACTTGTCAGTTTTGGAGGCCAAGTCCAAAGGTTGGGCTGAAGATCTCAACTCTCAACTCAAGTGAAGGGTTTGAAGGCGTAGGAGGAGCAAAGCAATAAACACGAGCGGCGTGGCTCGGGAAACAACTATCTTTGCAGCCACTCCACTTTTTGGTTTGTTCTTTTGGGCTAAAAACTACACAACAATCTCTGCAAAAGTACCAACAATTGTAAACTGTAAATCTTATGGAGATTATTAGAGAGGGAGGCAAGGAAATTAAGAATGTATTATTTTTTGGGTTGTAAATTTTGTGGTTTAGGAAGCCCAGGCCAGTCTAAAAACTTAACTGTAAATTATAGAGTAATGGAAAAAAGAAAAAGAAAAAAGAGGGGAGTGGGGGAAATGAAGTCACCTCAAAAAGTGCAGTTGATGGTGCGTATGGAAACGCATCAAATATGAATTGCTATAATTTTACTCCCATTGTATTTCCATGGATAGAAGGAATTTTCTTCTCATCAAGATAGTAACTGCATTCACAATAACACGTTTGCAAAAATATCATTAGAATAGCTAAAACTACGGATGAGAAACTCCAAATGCACGGTGCTGATGATGTATAAACTTAAAAACAAAAAGTATAACTTAACATCTGCATTTTACTTTGTAACGGCACCATGTGGTATGTACAACAAAAGCTAGCTCAAGTTTAATTAAAAAAGTAGATATTTAGAAGCTAGCTCAGGTCTAGACCTTGCATAATTTAGAGAAGCCCATGAAACCTCTGCCATACAGAACAGAGCCATGACAGTAATCCCAGCAATACGGTTCACTTATCTTATCGATTTCTAACAAGCTAGACATGATTATCACTATTGGTACAATACAATCATTAAATATTAATTGTTTATTTTTTCTTTAACATTTGAAACTAGCACTCAGATCTCTCTTTTATAGAAACAATTCCAAACAACCCAATTTTTTTTCTAGAAAAAATTACCCTCACCCCATTGTTATTGGAAAAGAAAATACAAAATAACCCCTCCTGTATGCATATCCATCATGTATCCATGTAGTCAACTAGATACAAATTCAGAGTATCTTATG